TTCACAGCAAAAACACTGTGAAGGTTTTAAAAAGTTACCTTCACAGCATTTTGCTATGAAGTTTCAAGTGTAAAATGCTGGTCTCACGGGTCTCACGAAAACAGACTGGTCTCACATGATCCCAAGTATATATATATATATATATATATATATATATACACACACACACATACATACATACTAGTTTTGTACCCGCTGCAATACAGCTAAACATAAAACTTTCTTGTAAATAACAAATTAATTAGTTTATTCATAAAATGTTCTATCATTTAAATTATGGCGTTGTTTGCAATTAAAATGATATTTTGATAACTAAATGAGAAATACGAAAGTTGAAGCCTATAGAAATCATCCATCAAATGGGGAGTTTTTTTTTCTTTTGAAGAAATTGTTCATCTTTAAATCTCAAAAGAATTTGAGAACTTTGTTTTGACAACTTCAGTTTTCATCCCATCTTTGAGAGATCAACGGTATTTGTAAACATTAAAAATATCATAGTATTATACTTTTCAAATAAGAAAAAACTATAAGGCGAACTTATCGAAATAGAACTATGTAAAAGAAAATGATGTAGTGAATATTGAAATTACTCTGTAAGTTTAAGCAATTTATTGCATCTACAAGTTGTTGGACTAGCCTTTTAACATACAACATCTTGAAAACACAAAATAGTTGATTTGGAATGTTGTAGATAGTGGGACTATATAATGTCAAAAGGAAGGAAAGGAAAGGGATGATGAGGTAGGGACTTTAGAAACTTGTAAATAATGTATAAATGACAGTTAAAATTTAACAACAATAATAAATAATAAGTATAGATAAATAATAGTGTAAAATGGTCATTTTTCGACCCCAACGGCCATGTTGACCATTCTAACGGCTAGTTTGACCTTAGTAACGGCTCGTTTGACTTTCGTTGACTGGGCCGGGCCGGGCCCATAATCGGTCCCGGTTCTGGTAGGTCTCAGGTCTAAAAAAGGACAAAATGGATAACCGGTTCAAAACCGGCGGTCCCAGTTCCGGTCCTTCGGCGGTTACGGGCCGGGCCGGTTTATCACTAACTATAAGGTATAAAATGAAAGTTTTAAAAATAATTCACTACATATTTATGTTATTTAATTATATGAGATTAAATCGAAAAATATTCAATATTGGGTTCATTCTGAAGGCATTGGTGAGACGATTATAATAGTATAATTTGTAAAAAGTGAAACATATTTTTTAATATATTTTAGTTAATATACGATTATGTATGAATATGATAATGGTATAAAATGAAAAATGAAAAAGAAATATATATAAAGTAAAATAAATAGAGAACAATAAAGGTGTAAAATGTAACTTAAAAATTAAAAATAATCTTTAAAGTAAATCAAATGTTAACGAAGTTAATTTTGTTAACCAATCTTGCCCATTGATCTTTGAAATTTGTGGCTAAGATCATTCATGACATAAAGTGTAATTGATTGCACACATAGGCAAGGTAACATAAGTAAACAATATTTACATGGGGTATTTTGGGAAAAGATTTTAGTTCTCCATTAATGACAATGAGATTTTTGTAACCGTCCATTAATGACAGTGAGATGTTTTGTAACTGCCCATTAATAACAATGTAACTATTCTGGAATTAATCTTGTCATCGAATCAAAACCAACAGCAAGATCTCTGACACCAGATTCTTCTACAGTTTTTCTTTTGTTAATGTTTCAAATGTGAACAAGTATTCGATATTTATGGGAATTGTTCATGTGTGAACAGGGGTGTATATGGAAAAAAGTCGTAAATGACACAAGTGTACATATATGTCAATCTGTGTTTGTATTTGACACAAGGGTTCATGTATGTCAATTTGTGTTCTTAATTGACACAAGGGTTCATATATGTCGAGTTGTGTTCATATGGTTGTACGAATGTTCATATATGTGAATTTGTGTTCATATGGTCACACAAGTTCATAATCTTTCGTATATTCATTTGGGTCAATATGTGTTCATATTTATATCAACTATACATATAGCTCAATCTGTTTTCGTAATTGACACAAGCGTTCATATGTATGTCAATATGTGTTCGTAATTGACAAAATGGTTTATATATGTCGAGTTGTGTTTATATGGTTGTATGAATGTTCTCATATGTGAATTTGTGTTAATATTGTCACACATGTCCATCATTTTTCTTATATGTCAATTTCAACGATACCGAAAATTTTACTACCAGGTCTCCTCCACCAATCACAAATTCATAAACATTAGAGATAAAAAATCAATATAAAAAAAAAACAAGATTAATAATAAGTTAACACAAATAATGAGATTTTATGGTTTTGTAACTCCCAACTAATGATATAAGAGTTACATAAAAAAAGATTATTATATATGTACCATTGTCATTAAATTCTAAGATGGATAGGAACCTAATACTGAGATGAATTGTGATTGGTTGAAAATGGTTAACAAAGTTAACACAATAGTTTGGGTTAAAATTTGAACCAAAAACAGACTCTCTCTCTCTCTCTCTCTATATATATATATATATATATATATATGGTGTTGATTAATATGAAGAATAATAGAAAAACGTATAAATTATAATGAATGAAAGTTGAGGTACCTAGTAATTACTATTTATAGAATTAAAAAAATAATAAAAAAATAAAACCGCTTATTATTTTTGTTTGATCATAGTTATAATTAATATAACATAATTAAGCTTTTTATAGAAGAAAAAAAACTTTAATACATAATTATAATAATATTTAATATAAATTAATTAGATTATTAAAAATGGGTTTTTGTGATTAAGGGGCCTTAGTCAGAGTCTTATTTCATGTAGAAAAAGCTTAAAAGGCCCAAATCTGTAGGTCTTGGATGATGGGGTTCAGCCAATAAAATCTTTTGTGGATGCCCTGATGTCACTTGTGATATTAATCGCTCATTATGATGCTTTATGATATCAAGAAGCTTGTAGAGCCTTACATCAACACAAATAGGCTTGAAAAGAGCAAAAAGGAATAATTTGTTGGGAGTAAGCGAGATAAGAATCTGGGAGTTTCCTCAAGCAAAAAACACCATCTGTCGTTTCTCACATCTTCATTAGCATGTTTAGATTTTTAAGTTTTCTGTATCTGTATTTTTACCATCTAATGTCAGGTGGCCCATGACAAGCATCGTTGGCATATACTCTGATTTCATTGTTGTTACTTAAGGAAGAAGAACATGATGATGCAGAGGATGATGGTGAATGGAGATCAGAGGGAGGAGGGATGGTGGTTAGGGGAGTTGTCTTTGTGAATGGCGATGACCGGATTGGAGGATGATGATATCACTAGCTCTGAAGGTAACACTAAAGATGATATCATTGAAGTTGAAGACGGGTTCAAGTGCACAATGTGAAGGCCAAACACTAAAAATTCAACAACTTTGAAGACAAGACATCTATCAACCTATCACTAAAGCTCACTGAAGTAAAAATTAAAGCTGAAGAAGATGCACTATTGAAGACGTCAAGGTTGCCAATTTAGAGAAGTGTCGTTGATACTAATTAATGATAACCAACTATGGAAAGAAGCTCTAAAAGCTAAAGACTGTTTTTTGATAGATGTAGTCTTAAGTTGAACCAAAGATCAATGACTGACAAGTTGAGTAATTTTTATCT